AGGGTTTCTTCGATTTCGCGATTCAACTTTGGGTCTTGAAATATTTGATTTTCCTCCTGGTTCACGGAGATGCTAGTGAAATTGGAAGTATTCAAAGGCTTTTCAGCGCTGACCCAGGTGCTCGGCGAGAAATAATTGATTTTATTTTCCTTCAAAATTTAGCGACTGTGGATCCGAAATAAGACACCTTTTCATGGAAAACACGTTTGCCAAAGCGTTTCCGGCCTTGAATCTTAAATTCTGAACAGTATCAAGGAAAAAATTCAAAAACGCCGCAATGACGTTAAAAAAATTACATTCACGTTGGATCGATCCGGTGAACTTATACGCATGCAATGTAAATGGATTGGGTCACGAAATTTACATGTTCTTTCGTAGCCTCACAGTCGCTTCAAAAATAGTCACTAACATTCTGAATGTCAGTGTTGCAAAAAATCAAGTAAGTCTGACAGCCTCAGATTCTGACAAAGTCGTCGAATATGTGTACTCTTTCTCTTAGGCTGGATGAGACAGAATGCCTCTCGATACATTTATTAAATCTAAGTTTTTCTGAATAAAATGAATTCAAGAAAATCGAACTGCTTTAATTTCCACATTGAGCAGCGACAGCTTTATTGGCAGCAGGAAATGAATGAACGCGCTCTGATGGTTCTAAAATTAACTGGACTACATGTGAGTTGGCCATGAAAAAAATATTTTCTGTAAAATAAGCTCGATTATATAGTCGAATGTACAGTTGACTTTTCTTGGATAATTGAAAATCAAGGATATGCAAACAAGAAAAAATTCGTCCACAATGACTGAAGTAACCGATAGAAAATTAAAGAAATTAAGACCAACAAGACAAGGAACATGTTATTTTTAAATAATGTATCACAAGAAAAGATTGGGGTCATGAAAGGTTACACACGCAGGCATTTTTACAAGTCTTTGACATGCTACGCGATTTTTGAAAGGCGCGGCTAATCAAATTGAAGGTAAATCAAAGAAAGCCTTTCTACAGTTATATTTTACCTTCTTCTACTGAGCATCGTGAGGTCGTTTATAAATTTGACTTCTTTCTAACGCGGTGCAATATGACCGCACTCCGCGATGCCAGTGAAAATTCCAAACTCAAAGGGCAGAACGGTCGTGTTGTATTTCCGTGTGCATGAGGATGTTGGCGAACACAATTTTCCCAGTTTAGAGCTCAGCATTCATTTTTACCCGCCAGTTCCGAAAGCAAAACTTTTTGGAAGCCTCGAACAATGCACTGTTGGAGTGCATGGAGCATTAAGTTGTGCCACGAAATCCAGTTAAGAAGTGATTTGTTATCAGCCGGCGAGTTAGTCGACATACCGTATTAAATCAACGCGAACAAAAACAAAGCCTTTGCTTGAACCGACCCGAGGTGCTGGGGAACATTAAAATTTGATTAATCTATGAAGTTGTGCCGGTTGGAAGTATTCAGAGCCAGTCATAAGTCAAGCAGTCGCTGGCTTGAAGTGTCAACGTCGAGCGGTATTCGGTGAGCAACGACGCATACTCGTGGCATCGAATGGCCGTTACCCGAGCTGCTTATCCACGCGAACATGTTTTCAAACTCGTCGACCAGCTTCCGTTTCGTCAGAGCTTCGACAGCAGTTGGTATCTCTCTACGTACATTTTTCAGACTTTATTTGCTTGACTTCGACTTTGAAAATCATCGAACGCAGTACAGTACTGTATTAACGTTGAAAAGAACTGAATGATTTTTTCTCCGTTTCAGTTTTTTCGGTTCTCTTTTCTATACAAGAAAACGACCTACACTTTCAGATTATTTCGCCGAAGAAGTATCTGCAACGATCTTACCAACTGTACTTCACACTTCACGAAAAATTACTAGATCATAAATTTCCATTGATTTTCGAAAGGTGGAAACAGAAATATTCAGAATATTTTTCAATGTTATCAGGGACAAGTTTTACATTTGAGGACAAGTAGTCTCAACATGCCTGCTGCTCTCAAATGATTTCAAATGTGTCCTTTTTGCCTCATTTTGATATTTTACTTCTCCAATGTAATTTTTTAAAGGTCGATGAACTTATTGGATTCATTTCCTCGATTACAAGTTCAACACGGTATTTAAACATCGGTTATGCAGTATCCAATTTTTCTTGCAAATTTGACATTATTCCGTAGCTCTGATAATCGGAGTTCTATCATAGAGCAAATTTACTGCAATGTATATGATATCCTTAAAGATTGTTGCGGAAAAACTTTCGTGGAAGTGACCTCAGCAAAAATCTTGATATACTACTGTACTTCAAACTCTCCGAAGTTTCGTGTTAACGAATATCGATGATGAAGTTAGAAAGAAGTTGCATTCTGCCCCCATCCCCTGCGTAAGAGCCACTCTTCAGACCTCATCACCTTATCCTGGTACCCCATTGTATCCGGAAACGAGGCTTGATGCTGCCACGGCGTGGTGACAGTTGAGTGGATTGATGTCGTGCGCCATTTTTGTTCTTATCACTTCAAATGGTAACACACTTTTCCTCTTCCCAGTTATAGGGCAATAAAAAATAATGCATTGCAACTACTGCATTCGGCTGAGATTCAAGTCGAAAGTATTCGACAAGAGAAAGCAATTAATCAAGAAAATACAGTACAAAACAAGCTTTCAATTTCTCCTACTCGACTTCAAATCACTGAGTATAACATGCTATCTATAATTGAGTTGCTTAATTTTCGTCTGATTGCCAAATTATCCAGACTAGGGTAAATTTTACAAAGTGTCGGTAACATTTCGTTGGATCTTTTTTCTGCATATATTTTCATCACCTGAGTAATATTTTTTCCAGAATCATCTGCACGGTTTTTTTGCCGAATGCATCATTAATCCTTAGCCCGATTAATCGGGGCGAGAAAACAATAAATAAAACAAGGTTTCTGTTCAACATTTTTGGGTTGAGACATGTCCCGCAGAATTTCCTGAACGCTTCCGCAGAATTGAATTAGGTGACTGAACCTTTGAACGAGGAACGAATACATTATTTCAACGCGCGTGAACTCGGGAGTTTTACTCTATGAGCGTATACACCCGACTTCTTCAACCCGATGGATAAAAAATAAATAACATTCAACTTTCGGCGCCTCTCCGTATGCAAGGGGTATATTTGTAGAGATTTCGTGCAGTACGTGCTTTGGTGTGGCACGGAGCAAACAAAGAGGTGATTTGCATCGCGACAAATAGCACCGCGCCAGGAGGTGATGCATGTGGCAGGGAGGTACTGGCTCCAGCCAAGCGCCGACCGAGCCTTATGCGGCCAGCGATCTCGATGATTCATGCTCTGACCCGGTGCGCAAGAGAGGAAGAGCGGCGGAAAAAGTCTTGACCGACTCCCCTTCCCAGTGCCGGGGTCTGCTGGGGAAAAACACAAACACAAAAACAAAAAAAGAGCGACTTCTGCTGCTTCTTTCATCCACCTGTGTTCCTGTGCTCGCGACGGGGGTTCTAGTACAAATTCCGAGCAGGTAACACCTCAGAATCACTTCGACGAGGAAGAAACAATTTTTCTCACCGCATCTCAAACGTTCGTTTGGTTCGCCCGAGAACATTTCCGCGGGGATATGATGTTGTTCACTCGTACCTCGCAGAGTCGCATCACCTGTCAGAAGCACTCCGGCTGGAACGGTGACACGTTTCAGATCATCCTGATGCATCACGCAATGCAGCATGATTGAGCAGTTTCTTTTGCCTTAAAATGTAAACAAGCCAGATCCGATTACGTCATCTAAGAAATGAACGTAGGTGACTCCTGCGAAGAAATTGCAGAGAGAATCCGAAGGATATCGCAGTTATCATTGGAACTGACAATGTATTAAATTTGTTCACGGATATAATTCACAAACGGAAGTTCCCCAGGTACTTCTGAAGAGTTCAAGCGTGGCATTTTCAGGGGCCATTTTTACAATAAGACTTTCGACTAATTTCAAACTCGGAATTCTTCCTGCTCAGATTCATTAAGCTTTTAAAAGTTGAAAAAAAACGAAGACAAATTATCGCGCCGAATTTATCTTCAGTCTGTCCTCTCTGATTCCTTGAAATAACTGCCATTTTTCGGCGAGCATCACAGCACCATCGTTTTTGGTCGCATTTTCAAGACAAAAAAACTGTAAAAGCTGTATTTTTGGAAGCTAAATGAGCAATTTACATGAATAAAAGAAGGAATTACACTTGCATAGTCCGAGAAATTTTCACTAGCGGGTTCTCACACTGGAAGATTATTCAAATTCTGATCATCAGTCAGAAAATGCTTGCTTTTCTGCTACAGCATTCCAAACTTCTTCAAAGCCAAGCAAACACTAAGCTGAAACATTGTCTCAAAAGAAATATATACTGTATTATCCATATGGCAGTATAAGCCGGATGAGACATATATAAAACGAGTATCTCATGTACAATATAGGCTGCACTGGCACTTTTTAAGGCAGTTTTGGGGACAGCCTGTAATCCAGCAAATGGGTATTCCATTGTCTAAGATTCAAAAGCATGACACGTGACTTCGCTGGAGATCAGTTCATTACAAAGACTGCTTGACGGTCGAAATGAACACGGTAGCTACCGGTTGACCTTTGGGGGGAATACTTTTCCGTGTCTTGGTCCCGATGAAATGGTTCTCACGTGGATGCGTGGAAACCGACGACGGAAAGAGGCGTGTTCTTTCAGTTCTTCCAACAAGCCGGCTCGTCGACGCGAAGCTGGGCTCGACAGTGTCGATTCCAACTTCCAGAACTGTGTTTCGATCGCGTCCGGGTTCGGTGTTGTGAATAAGCAGGTATTTGTCCAGCAAGACGCAAAGCTGGCACCTGCTGTCCTGATTCGCCGCGCGGAAAGGGAATAACAATCCTTGGAACGGCGTGCAGAAGCGGTTTCAATGGCCTGTACGCAGCTCGACCAGCTAATGCTAAAAATAACCTCGGCGGCGGATCTGATACGCGCGTACTTGACTCCGGGGTTTTCTCATTCGCCTTTTTCATTGCCGTCGGTTTCTAGAGCAGGTATTTCATCTCTCGTGAGGGGCACTGGATGCTTCTATTTACTACAGTGCGCGTGGCAACACGGCAGGCTCAATGAGTCGCGCTGTCCCAGTGCGATGACGTCGCGCAGTTAGTGTCGAGCAGCTTTTCGAGGTGCGTGGGAAACGCTCATCAGGCCTCACACCGGTACATGGCATCGAACTTCGTTCTGCCAATTTTTCCCCCTGTGCCTAGTGCATTGCTTGCGAACCCGCCGTGTGTACGTGTATCTGTCGCTACAGTTGGAGCGAAAAAATTTCTGCGCTTGTGCTCGTCAGTTGCTTATAGCGATCGCGGCCTGATTTTCCATTGCATAAAGCTGTGTGTCACCTCGACCAGAGCTTGGTGAAGGTATGTGACGGAATAACAAACAATGACCCCTCCTGTCGACAGATTTGATGTCTTACTCAGTACGACTCCGATTATTGTGGCTCTGATTAACCGGGCATCTGGCTATAATCAATTAGTAATTCACGGATATGAGACAAAGGAACCTATAATCACTTGAACTGCTTCTTTTTCCTCAGACTCGACTAAACATCCTTGCTGATTCACCTAGAAGTTGATGGGAATATATCTTATGGCATTTAAAGTTATTCTTGGACATTCCTATCTTTTAAAATAGGAATCGTCAGATCAAACTTATACCCTAATTTCATACTGTACTTCAATTAGGAAGTTTACTGTCTCTTTTCGGTAGTTTCAATGCGCATTAAATTTTGATCATCCTATTTTCTCAATGATGGGCCCCTCCCCCCCCCCCCCCCCCCCCCCCCCCCACTTGGGAAAATGTGTCATATAAGTCAGATGCGGCCAATAGCCGGCAGGTTTGAGTATTTCGTATGGGCCGCACTACCGTTTTATTAGTACGGCCTACACTATATAGATTAAATGACATCTAAACATGCTCCGTTAATTTTAACTGCAATTGTTAGATCTTGTCGCTGTGTAATCCACGTTTCCCTTCAAATTTTCGGCATCCCATGAAATTGGATTCCCCAAAAACACCATGCGGCCTACAGCAGAATAAGCCTAAACATGTTATTTATTTTCACATGGTCCTTTTATTTATTGTAGACAGCGTTCAAAATCGATTAATGGAAAAGCCAATTTTCTCCATGTTACAGCAAAAAATTCANCCTTGCATAGTGACGCAAATTTTCCTGTAGAAAATCTTCAATTGTGTTTTTAAGGGAGAACCTGATTTAGTACTAAGCTATTTGGTTTCACAAAATTCCCTGTCTTGGATGAGGATCTCAATCGATCTTAGACCCGTCGAGCTGACGAACAAAAGGCATTCGAAGTACATGAAAGATGTCGGAGCCGCTGTTCGCGAAACGTTGAGAGGGCTTTTCCGCATCGTGGCCACTGCCTGGAAGGCGCTCCCCTATATCCGTGCTTTAGCATAGGTCTAGGAAGTGTGCGAGAGAATAAATAATGCCGTCGCGGAATCTGCGGCGGTTTTGCACAGACAGTGGCCTCCCCTTTCAGTGATGGATCATTCCCCTGCAGCACGGCGCACCGTCGCCGGGGAGTTGTTCGGGAACTGATCACGTTCTCTCCGGTATCCTTGGCAAAAGGGACGCCGTCCGCACTCATAAGTCATAACCCATTCCAGCAAGTTCGCGTCCATTCCGGATTCACGCAATTCCCATCTAACAATGAAAGCGTTACTCATGCATCGTGACCACTTAATCGGACCCTCCACAAACCCTTTCCCGACGAGAGAATGGATCGGGCTTCGAATATGGTTCATTCAGAGAATGCAGTAGCCAATTTAGCAGAATTTATAAAAAAATCCTCATCTCCAGAAATACTGTACATTCCAGCATCCAATTATTCGCTCCAGCCAATAATTTCGACGTAACGGAAGCTTCTATGATTTGAAGCGTTGCACATTTTCACAATACGTCAACCAAGTAACATCTACTGTACTGCAAATCAGCTTACCTAACGTCGTATTTTCTCAAACACACACCGTAGAATTTCCCAAAAATATGGGTCTTGTCTATTACTGCCGAGTTATCCAAAATTTCAATCTTCCTCGTTCAAGGTCCAATCTTCATTTTTACTCAATCTATTTTCCCGAAATGTTCAAACAAAAGCATTGGATTGCCTTTGAAAATATCTTGTGGTTGAAAATGTTATGCTGAATAATGTAAGCAATGGTAAAAGTGGCTTCAAGTTTTACTGCATGGGAGAATCAATTCCTTGGACAGAAAATGATATGCAATACGATTCGTGCAAAGATAATATCCTTCCTCATCCGCATTTTCAAACATCAGATAAAGATAGTCAAAGTTGGGAAACTGATAAAGCTGACCTCGAAGAGAACCAGGAACAGGAACCGGAAGATTTGTTGAGGCTGTAAAAACGCGCATTTTAACTGCTGCACGGTTGGAGAATAAGGCGGAGAGAAAGAATCATAGCTTGAAAACTGGCCGCCCTTTCTTTCCCGTGCGATTTTTGACTGGAAAATGGTTCCCTCTCGGCTTGTTTGCCTGAGCGACTGTTGGACGAGTCTTGCTTTTCTCAATATACCTCTCGTTGTTATTGTAGGATGGTCTTCAGCCCCGACTTGAATCCCGAGGACGGTGGGTTTCGTAGACGCCGAGGCCATAGGCAACGGCCCAAGACGGGTTTCTCCAGCAAGAACGGGAAGGGGTTCACCGAGGACATCTGGAACTTCGACGACTCCTGGTTCACTGCCACTCAGTGCCGCGGACGCCTGGACGTATTCGGTGAGCTGCTGTGGGAATTGGTGCGACTCCAGTCGCTGCTCGACTACCTTCTCGGAGGCGACATGACGCCCAGTGACGACCGCCACCGGTCCTCGAGGCGCCGCGACGCCTCTGACCCACGACGCCCTCGGGCTAGGTCCACGCACGGTCCACCGCGACCGGAAAGCTACGGTGCTGACGCGGATTTTGTGTCCGGTCTCTTGTTGTCGCGGCAGACAAAAAATCGACGTCGAGACGCTTCTGTTCCGCGTGTCTCATCCAAGGACTGTGACGATTCGTCACGAGCATCTGCGTCGGGCGAGGAGCACGGGAACAAAGAGGAAAAAGGCTGGAGGACTTTGACGAGGGAACTGAGGAAGCTTCTTTCGTCCAAGTTCTCCGACAAGGATACGGACTGCGGAGACGAGGATTCGCAGTCGGCTGATTCTTCGCCGAGGTAATTTCGAGTTCTTCCTCCGTATCTCCAGGGAACTTCTGGCCAAACGAGTACTGTATCTTATGCTATAGGGACAAAAATTACCAGAAAACTCATCTTGCTTTTGCTTCTTTCTCAGCACCGCACTCTAAACACTTTTCACAAGGAACTCTTTTTATCCAGGCTTCGATCAACCATTTATGTACGATTGAATATGCCCAACATTCAAGTCATTCAGAAAAATAGGGGCTGTACGGTTTTTCTGAAATTTGTGTCGATCTGTTCCCTCTCATCTGGGTTAACTTTAGGATTCTGGAAATTGAATTAACATACTGCACATACTTACTAGCATATTCACATTGGAGACGCATTTGTAACTGAAAAAAAAGTTGAGGCAATCAACGTGCCTTTTGTACTTGATAACATCCATCATTCGACTGCGTCTTAAATTCGCTGGAGAAGTGCATAATTATTCATGTCCTTTCAATGAAACGAAATTAAGGTCATGATCCAAAGAATCCTTCACGAATATTTTCAAATTAGAAGTAAAAAACTAGAAAAAATATGTTTGAGGAGGTTAAGTTGTGACTGAAGCATGAGCAGAAGCAACACTCCTCTATTTCAAAACGATTGAACAAATTAAATTGAAGTGCGTCTCGTACAGTAGGTGGAATTTTTTTAATTTATGTGGCACAGAAAGCACGAGTGCATCTTAATCTCAACCCTGCATTGCATTGAATATGCTACAATGTTTTAGAACCTATTGTTGAAGGAATATCAGACCCCCTTTGAACTGCTCAAATTAATGAACTGCCAACTCGCGAGCAGCCGCCGTTTTTTGAAAAAAAAAAATCTTCTCAATAGTGTGCTACCACATAATCAGGATAGGACGCTATTTGCCAAGGTTTTCCTCCGCACAAATATAACCATTGCCAATCTTTTTAGTTCTTGACGACTAATTCAATCTCCATAAACTGATTTGTCACATGAACTGATTCGCAGAAGGTTAGCCATTGCAGTATACTTGAACATGTTTTCTTGGATAGCTGAGTGTAATCCCAGGAGTTCACATTTTGAACAGTTAAAAATAAGTTGATTCTCCCCAGGAAACTTGTACCATTCATAAACCACTACCTTGGAAGAAAAGTCCTGCTAACGACGAGATAATCTTGTTAGGCTTGTTAGGAGGCGTTTTTTGTTGCTTATATTGTTTCAACAGAGGTATTCCTTGCAGGTTCGGAAGTCCAGAGACATTTTCATTGATTAACCTCAATCTCATAAAAACCTCTTCACGAACCCAGAGTAAAGTATTCCTATATAGACTGACGCCAGCATACAGTTATGACCCTTATCTAAAATTACAATGAAATATCGCACACACAAGAAAGGTCTATCGATTTTCAAGCAAAGATATATTCTGAACGGATGAGCAACAAATTTAACAAATCTCTGTAACTCAGCTGCAACAAATCTCTGTAACTCAGCTGCATCATTGCAGTTTTTAAAATTCTATTTTAAATAATTTTCAAATCTAGACGTGGCATTTCTTTTGAATATTATTGATTGTTGCAGCTGTTTCACAGCAGGCTATTTTGTAATGATCACGCTGACCATACAAATTCAGTTGGATTCTAAAGAGAATTTGATGAAATCTACGTCGAGATTTTCTAACGCGGTAAAAACTTGAAGTACTTGAACCGTTCTGAGATTTTTTGTTCAGAAATTAGTCTACTGATTTATTCCATCTTTTACATCGATGGCATTTTCTGAAAGGTAATTGAGCTGCACAGTTACTGATTGGTTTTTGAAGGAATGTCGTTCCTATCAAGTGAAATTACGGTGAAAATTTGCTCTTAATTATTCGTAACTTTGTGACGGTCTAGGCTCTAGAGGAATGTATCTGGTCGTTGATTCGGATTATGGAGGTTTCCCCGTAGTGGAAAAGTACCGCATATCCCGCACAAAAATGCATCAGCACTACAGCGTTTCGTGGAACGAAAACCCGCAACCCTTCTCAGCCTTCGAATTCATGCATGCGCATTGCAATCGACAAGATTACCATAGCATCGCGCGTGTGTAATTTCAGAATCCTCCGAGTGGCGTCCCGGTTACAATTTTTAGAATTTCTGCGAAGGATATCGAGTGCAGAAGGGTGGGTGTCGTAGTCGTTATTCGACGGAGTCGCGGCGTCCATTCGAATGCCATTCCAATTGATCCAGCGAATGCGATGTGCCTCATGCGAACGCGGGACATAAAAATCTGTCTACTCGAATTTTACTCCCGTCGCAGTTTCCAGCGACAAAAATCGATCCCGAACGGGGACTCCATTCCGCCTAAAAACGCGCTGAGGCGGCGAGGAAATGCAGCCTCGCCTGCGACGCGCAGTTGAATTTCCGCACCCTCCTCCGCATCTCACAATAAGAACACTTGTTCTTCGCCGAGATTAATGAAAACATGGTGATTTTCGCGTACGGAAGATCCGTCCCAAGCGCATTCAGTCCCAAACGGTAAGCCCTTTAATCCCCTTTGTCATTGGGGTGGCGCGCCACCCAAACTGACCAGCTTAATTCTTTTGTTATTTCT